ACCAATGGGTGGTCACCGCTGGTCACTGTGTCGTAAAGTATGTATTTTATTTTAAAAATTAACAAGATAATTAATTTATAAATCAACATAGTCATAACACAAATGTCACCAAGGAACCAAAAGCATTTCTGTTACGATGCGGCACTTTATTACGTGAAAAACCCGGTACTGATTTCAATATCAGCAAGGTTATTCTCCACGACATGTTTAGCTTACCAAATTATGACATAGCCCTTTTGCAAGTTGTTGGCAAAATCCAGCTAGGCACACCGGCAATGGACAAAATAGCGTTGCCACCGCAAGACACTGACCTAGCACCTGCGGGCGCGATGACCACAGTGATTGGATGGGGTCTAAATAGTACGCATAGCCCATTGTTGCCAGAAAAGTTGCAAACACTAGACATACCGGTTGTCGATAGACCGACATGTATTAGTGATTACAAAAATTATAACCCACCTGAATACCGGATATCCGATTATATGTTTTGCGCCGGTTATGACGAGGGTATAAGGGACTCATGTAGTGTAAGTACTAATATAGTAATTCGACTAAATATTAATGTTTTAATTATTATGCATTTTGTCTACAACTACATTATTGTTTAATTTATTTGTTATTGTAATATATTTGTAATAGCACGATTCAGGCAGTCCATTAAAATACAAAAATACCTTGGTTGGTATTGTATCGTGGGGCAATTTTTGTGCTATACCTCACTATCCAGGCGTTTATACACGAGTAGGCAAGTTTAGAGATTGGATCCGGATTCATTCTAGTATATAACGGGCCAAATTAAAATTTATAAATCAAAAGCTATCAAGCTTGCTAATATTTCACACGAAACATTAAACTAAATTAAATTTCAAACAGAATTTTATTATGTAAACTAATTTTTAATTTACAATAATTTTAACTATTATATCACAACTTTGTTTACTATGCGTTCGCCCACATAAAATAAGTTTGAGAATAAAGTATCAATAATTATTATAAATCACATTAAATCCTACACATGAGTAATCATTGTCAGTTTAAGTGATAAGGTGCATTATAAATTTAAGCACAATTCGAATTAATCTAAACACTTAAAATATTATTTTAGATTTCGCAAATTATAAATGAACCATTTTTAAGCATAAATAAATTAAATATTAAATATAATTACAATTAAATACAACAATCCATATTATATAAAATAAATTACATTTTTCAATGTAAACTAATTAAACCACATTTATAACTAAATGCACCTTGTCCTTGTGGATTTTATGACTTAAACACTGTATTGTATAACGGTGAATCAAAATCAATAAGATAAGCCATATAGTTGCATACTTGAGACTACAACGCTCATAAGTCAGTCAGTATTAATTGTTTTTATCTACATTGAATTATTATAAGAATAAATAAAAAAGTATAACAAACATAAAATATGTGAATTTTAACAGTAAAACAGTCAAAATATAAATTAAATTTCCATTGTTTCCATCAAATTAAGTACCATGGCCAATTACACCACTATTAACTTGGTTATAGTGTTAATAAATTGTTTAACATGGCCAAGTATAGCCCGAGTGGTAGAGTGTCCACATACGTCTGCTATAGTGGGCGGGGATGACGCCAAACGCGGTGATAATCCGCACATGTGTTCACTTCAATACAGTGGCCGTCACTGGTGTGGGGCCGCCATCATAGGTGACCGCTGGGCCCTAACCGCCGCCCATTGTCTTAGAGGGTAGGTTTGTTTTATTATGTTTTAATAATAAATCATTATAATTACAATGGTTTATTGTATAAGTTGTGTCGCCACCTAAGTTAACTTTGTATAACAATTAAATACAGTGTACTATTTTAAAAACTTATTTAAGTTTTTAATGTTTATTAGTAATTAATTAACTCTGATTTAATATTCATTGGTATTAATTATTTTAAAAAGTATACTTAATGTTTTTTTTTGGTTATTTAAATATTTTACAGGGTTGATCCAACGAGGCTCGTACTACGATGCGGTACATTATTATACGCTACCCCAGGCGTTGATTACACCGTTAACCGAGTTATTATACACAACCGGTACGACCAGTACGGAGACAATGATATAGCCTTGATCGGGATAAACGGGCAAATGCAACTTGGTACTCGCGATCTAGACCGTATACGACTGCCTGCACAGGGTAGTGATGTACCACCAGGCTCAATGGTAACGGTAGTTGGTTGGGGTTACCTTGATTATTTTGGCACAGATCTGGCCCACACTTTGCAAACGGTAGACGTGCCAGTTGTCGATCGGCAAAGATGCACCTCAGAGTACGAAGATTATAACGTGGTCACAAACAACATGATGTGCGCAGGTTTGGACCAGGGTGGTAAAGATGCTTGCCAGGTTAGTAAATGAGATAGGCTAGTATTTTTAAAAATGTTTTACGATTTTTGTTGTTTGTGAATTAATTTTTTATCTGATTTAATTTGCAGAATGATTCAGGTGGCCCTGTTAAGTTTAATAATGTCCTGGTGGGTATTATCTCGTGGGGCAATGAATGCGCTAGACCATTGTTCCCCGGTGTGTATGTGCGTGTGGGCAATTACCGGGATTGGATTAGAGTAAATACGGGCATTTAATTAATTATATAAAGTTATATTAAGGTTACATACATGTTCAAATTGTATGTTCAAATTTATTTTTATTAGTTATATTTATGAAAATTATTGAGTTTTAGCGATCAGTGTAAAGTAAAGTATATAATACATAATAAATACATAATACACCTAAAATAATGTATATATTTAAAATAAATTTTTAAAATTTTAAAAAACATGTTTTATAATTGAAATAATAACATAAATCATAATGATGCAAACTGTAATTTTATATACATTTACAATAAGTGTTTTATTAAAAATCTATTATTGTTACATTATGGTGCGGAGGAAAACTGTGCGTAATTATGACACTTTTGGCCATTATAAAATGCAACTTATTTTTATTTGTAATTAATCTCTGATTATTAATGAATGTTTAAAATAACTAAGGACAGCAAAAAAGGGCGATCTAGAGCTTTCTTCACAGAAAAAACTTGACTTTAGATAAAGTAATGTTTGACTCATTGCTTTGAACACAACTTTAATATTGTGAAAATGAATTAGAAAATTGTTTTTTTCTGTGAAGAAAGCTCTAGATCGCCCTTTTTTGCTGTCCTTAAAAATAACACAGTCTAATTAACATATTTATATGTTAAGCTGTTTTATCCAAATTCGACACGTAAATAAGCCATACTAAATTTCATGAATATTTTATAATATAATTTTATAATATATTATAATAAAAATTATTATAATTTGCATAAGTTTTTAGTAATATTATTTAAATATTGTATTGCATATAATTAATTAAAATAATAAAATAATTCATTTTTACAAATATAATTAGGAATATTGAAATTGAACCATGTGTTAATATTCTATGAATAGATTAATACCATCATGATGCACTTGGTATAAAATGGTACACTTTCTAATCGCAATTTATTTCACCAGAAAATTTTAAACTAAACTTAAGTTAATAAAGTAAAAGCAATTTTATTACCAGGAATCAATATCAACACAATTATTATAAGTATGTGCAGAATACTTGAAAATATCAATATGGTTAAATGGGAATAGATGTCTAATATGACCATGATAATAAACACAGATAATGCTAGTTAAAATTACAGCTTTATAATGCAAACCTTACACAGTAATATAGTGTACATCAGATAATTCATCTATATAAATATAAGTTAAACAATAAGCAGATAATAGACAAATAAAATAACCATAATGAATTTGATTACAATAGTAAGTTGCATAATATTAAACACAGGTTTAAGCCTGTGTTTACCACGTTATACACCGCACCGACACCATAATGAAACAGGTCCATCGATTTTGCCCGACATGCAAATAGTCGGTGGCGATGACGCCCAGACCGGTGCCAATCCGCACATGTGTTCACTGCAATACAATGGTAAACACGGGTGCGGCGCCTCCATCATCAGCGCCCAGTGGGCCGTCACAGCCGCACATTGTGTAGACGGGTGAGTGTATAAAATCAATAATCATGGTTACAAATGCAAACTGTATTATTAGTCATTTACATAAAGTAATGATAATAAATTAAGTTATAAAACTTGTTATATTGGTTTATATTAACGTCATTATTAATTTTTAAAAACTTAATTATTAATAAACAACTGTATATTTTATGCATAATTGTTGTCATTACACTTCAATAATAAATAATATTTTACATTGGCACTACAAACCCAATTTGTTAAATATAATAATAATTTTGTTTATTTTTAATTATTTCACCATGATAGCTCTGATCCTAACAAATGGTCATTACGCTGCGGTACACTATTGCACGCACAGGGAGGCAGCTATTTCCCGGTGACTGAGTCCATAGTTCACCCCGATTACGATCACACCAATCAGGACAACGATATAGCTGTGTTGAAAGTGGGCAACGATATACCATTGGGCACGAGTGATATGGACAAAATCAACCTGCCTGAACAGGACTCGGACATGGAGACAGGTGCCATGATCACCGTGGTCGGTTGGGGCTATTTGAAAGATGGTAGTGGCGTAAACTCGGACAATTTAAAAACAGTAGATGTGCCGGCTGTGTTGCGCAAAGATTGTCAGGATGATTACCTTATGCACGATATTACCGATAATATGAGTTGCGCTGGATTTGATGAGGGTGGTAAAGATGCGTGCACGGTAAATAAATTAAATTATAGTAACAAGTGTCGGTTGAAGGCCAATTGTATTTTATTAGTACAGAATTTTGGCAATTTTTCAGTAGTATTATAATTTAAAAATTTGATTATTTAATATTACTGGCTGAGTAATGTTATATTATTGAATAATAGTGAACATTTGTTTTATTTAATTTGAAATAATTAAATTAACTAATTACTTTAATTGATAACAATTATAAAATAATTTAACATAATATAACTAATGCAACTGTAGTTTGATATTGATAGTTTATTTTAATAATATAGAATGACTCGGGTGGTCCGGCTAAATACAATAACGTGTTGGTAGGTGTAGTGTCATGGGGTGGTGGGTGTGCAGTGGCTCATCAGCCCGGGGTTTATACACGGGTTGGCAAATATCGGCAATGGATTCAGGAGCAAACTGGTGTATAGACTTTTTCAACAATTTTATATTATTAATCAATATTTTTATTATTAATAAAAATTCGTTTATAACAAATAAGCTTTGTAAAAAATTTTAAGATCATTTAATTATATTATGATATTACGATGTTGTAGTGTATATATTTTTAAAAAATAAGATTGCTATTTTGATCTTGATAATAATTTGCAATATAGAAAAATATTAATTAATTAATTTTTGTTTGTGATAAATTAATTTAAAATGAGCGTTTCTTCGGTTTTGCCATAAATATTATGCTGAATCAAGGAATGCATTATTACTTGCTTATAAAAATGTTAATTACAGTCTTTAAAAGAATACTAGATTAAATATTAAACATGTTTATAAAGTGTTAGTTAATAACATTGAAAATTTCTAACATAGGGCAAAATATTGCTGTATGTTTACTTTCATTTTCTTGATTAAATTCCAGGCAATTAAAATAATTACAAGCCTTTTAATGCATGTGACCATGTTTAATTAAACCTCTATATGATTTATCAAATTATATAAATTAATTTCTGCAAGAGAACAGTTCATCTTTATTAATGGTATCTTGCTAAATCCAGGATCATAATTCACCTTGTTTCGTTTAACTATAATTTAACTTAAAATTGTGATTAAAGAATAGCCAATGATTATTTTCTATATGTAAATTTTTAAAAACATGTTTTTATGGTTGAAATGATAACATAAAGTATAATAATACAAACTGTAATTTTATTTACATTTACAATAATTGGTTTACTAAAAATGTTTTACTATTACATTATGGGTATGAAGTGTTCAAAGACAAAATAATATTAAATTTTTAAACATTGAATTAACTATTCTTACTATTTATAAACTGTAAAGTTGTGAATATTATAAATGAAACATCAGTGTTATTTTATTTTCAATTTATTGTTGGAAATAATTTCTCCTTTTATATACCTATTCAAATGATTGCACTTTTAACTATAAATTTAATACACGAACAACAACTAAATTATCAACAAAATTAAAATTTAAACATTATAATAATTGTATTAATATGAATTTAAAAATTTTTTTAAATTTATTTTTATACTAAAATACAAATATTATATATTGTCTGGGTTGTTATGGACGCACAACAATGCATATACCTATTTATTATCATTAAATATACAGCACTTTTTTGTGATATATCTGTAATAATGATATGACTCTGTATTTCAACATAACTAGTGAAGAGTGAATATAACCGTAACGTTAATTAAAGCACAATAACTATTTGTTTTTATTACAAACATACGTATAATGTATTAAATATCATACGAAATAATTTGTGGTAAAATAGTTTTAATTTTTAAAATATTTTATATTTAAATAGTAAGTAAATGTTTAATTATTAAAAAATATTTGTTTAACATTATACGAAATTGTTTATGTATTTTTATTTTATCGTAATAGTTGTAATTAGTGATACAATAAATATAATAGTGATCTAGTTGTGATATATGTGCTATTTTTACTATTAAACCGGGTTTTGTATGATATATACAACAATAGGTGTCTATTGAATTAACAGGTAAACAATAATGTTAAAATATTTTATTCATCTGTAACCACCCTTCCGCTTTCATGTAGCACTTATTGATTAAATACCATGTGCTCTCTCTCT